TTTCTCTTTTTTTCTCTATCGGGTAAGTGTTTTTTTTTTTTTTTTTTTTTTTGGCTAATCAGGAGACTTTGATTTACATCACTATCTATCACTGTCGGATAAGTGCGCTTAAAACATATTTGGTGAGATGTATTATTAATAGTTAGTCATCATTAGGGATTAATTAGTTTAATCATAATAATTGAGTCAAGAAAAAAAAGACAAAATTATTGAAATTATTCTTAGAATATATGAGTATAAATTTTTTACTCATTTCTTTTAAGAAAAAAGGAGACAAATACTATTTAAAAGTGCACGTGTTAAGATTTTTATTATTTATTTTTAATTAATAATATTTTTAGTTAAATAATTATACTAGTAAAAGAGTATTAATCAAGAATGATGGATAAAAATTTAGATATATACATTCTTAAAAATAAATTATGCAATTCTTTATACTTCCTTTATAATTAGTAATCTTTTAACTCATATAATGATTTAATTAAAAAAGATATTAATTAAAAATAATGATAAAAATCTAAACTCGTAGATATTTGTCAATCTTATGCAGAAAACAAGGGTAAAACTGGTACTGAAATTTCCGCGTAAATGAGCTAAAAAGGGGCTGGGCCGAATTGGAGCCCATGTAAATGGAGGCCAAGATTTTCAAAGGAGATTTGGGAGGAGGGAAATAACATAACTCGGCTTCTACTAAAAACAAATAGCACAGAATTTAGAAATTTGAAGTAAATAAGTTATTTGAAGTAAAATAACATAATTTTAGTAAATGTATTCTTATCAATCAGTAAATACAAATAATACCCCTAAATAATCAAAATTATAAAATTTATTATTCAAAAATTTAGTAGGATCAAAAATAATTGTTCAACATTTTTGGGGTTGTAATTACTTTTTTTTTTATATAAATACTAAATTTCACGTTTTGACCCCTATTTAAAAAAATATATAATTTGACCTCTCAGTTTTAAAGAAATTTATCATTTAACCCCTTAATATTTAAAAAATTAAAATTTGACCCCTTAATTTAAAAATATCAGAACTTGATCACTTAATTTTTTTTAAGAATTAGAATTTAACCTTCTCAATTTTTAAGAAATTATAATTTGACCTAAAAAGTTTAAAAACTTTACAAAAAACCCTATTAGTTGGTAAATAATGCATTTAGCAAGTAAATTTGTCATTTACCTCATAAATTATAACTATTGGCTAGTAAATAAAGAATTTACCAATACTTAAATGGTAGATCTTTTATTCACCAAGATTGCGTTTTATTTCTTTAACTTGTAATTAAATAAAAGATTTACTCAGTAAATTCATTATTTACCAAAGAAACTAAATTACTGGCTTGTAAATAAAGGATCGCAAGAATTACTTATAAATGATAAATTATCCAATAAATCCTTCATTTACTAAGGGTGTATATGTGACAACCCTCTTACATGACCGTCATTGTAGCTTGTACTACATTTACTAAAATTACTTAAAATTTACAAAACATTTTTTTTTGCTTCTAATTTAAATTACTTCTATAGTTGTAACAAAATATTATAACTTAACATATTCATTATCCAAAACGTATATACTTGTTTCTTAAGGCATAATCTTATCAATTATAATTAATAGAAACTATATAACATGTAATAGTCATAATTATCAAAACTATTTAACATAAAATTTTGAGTCTTAAATATTAAAACTAGTTGCGAAAATGATTATGAGTGGTATTCATTCCCTGATCTTCACACTGCCCGTCTGCTGCTTTGCTAACAGTCCACCACATGTTAGGCGTAGTTTGCTTACCTACAGTATAAATATTCTAGGATGAGCTTTCACTCAGCAAATAGGAACTATCTTTTGTAAAACAACAAGAAGTTCACATGAATAAATATGCACGAGCCACTTATGATTAATTATGATAATGTCTTATTAAACTCTTATTAACTGATTTTATCTTACTAACTGATGGGCCCGAGTGCTTGTACCATTTACACACAATCATCGGGAAGTTAGTGTTTGTAAGGTCCCCAATGACATCGTGATTTAACTTATTATATTTTTATCTCCCTCGCAGAGTCTTGGTTACCTCCCTCGCGGAGGTTGGTACGACATTTAACTGAGATTATTCTTATAAGTTTCACTAGATTTATTAGGGTGTAAGCAGTATGGCATGGCATCGCATACTATAACATCAAGCATAAACATGTATTTATAATATGTATAACTTTTTATTTATAAACTATTAAAACTATAAGTGAGATTCCTACTTACCTATTTTAAAGAGCTGGAATTCACTAATTGCCAAACAGTCTTTTCTCTTACTTGCTTATTTCTGAAAACGGACACCAATTAAGAGTGTGAGCTTAACTGTCATTTGCTATTTTATTGGGCTCGTTCTAGTATTAAGGCCCAATTCAACCTAGAGACTCAATAAAGGCATTCTATCTTTAGATTATCGTAATTTAGACTTGAGTAGGAGTTCTTGAACTAATACGAATGTTGGATCCGCATCTAACGTCATAATTCTAAGGGCCTAACATATTGGGTTTGTAAGTCCCCGTTTGGATGTTTGCTTAAAAACTGTTAAGGTTTTAAAAGAAAACATTACTAAAGTTTTGTACTAAAAATGAAATGTCTGATTTTTACGAAATTATAAGTACTCAAATTCCGTTATTAGTTCTAAATAAAATTTTTTTCGATAACCGATGCTTTACTTTTGAAACTATTGAAATTAGTGTTCTTACAGTTAATTTTTAAAGTTACCATAAAAGTATGTTGACGAGGAGGTTATTTACCAACAAATCAAGTATATTTGAGTTCAAATATTAGCGAGTTTTCAAGCATTTTTGTTAGTTTGGTGTGTTTTTGTAGGAATCATTAATAAATGGGAAATTAGGTGAAAATAAGGAAAAAATTGGAGTTTTAGAAGCTATCAGGATGAGCCACGGATGAGGGCAAGGATGCGTGTAAACATCCACGTGAAATGGGGTGAAAAGCGCCTAAGAACAGCCTTGAGCAGGGGCTGGTACACATCTGGTAACAAGGAGGATTTTGGGGGTTTTTTTTGCCCCTTGATCATTATAGTTGGCCATTTCTGACCCTTGGATAAGTTTAGATGAAGTTATTCTCCAATTTTGGGTATACTTAAGTAAGAGAAACCCTAGTTCCCAACTTGGAAAGGATGAGAGACACAAAAATTCCTAGAGAGAGAAGCTTGAAGTTTGAAATTCTTGAAGATTTGAAGACTTAAAGTTCATCTCCACAAGAGTTTTCTCTTCCTTCTCCCTTTTCTTTATAGTGTTTTAGTTGTTGTTCTTGAATTTGTGATCTTGGTTATGGATTCCTCTATGTTGAGCTAGATTTTATACTCTAGGGCTTGATGTAGCTTTATTTGTACCATGTTTTCATTATCTTGCCAATTGTTAGTTAAATTCCATTTTAATTTATTTATGTTTCTCTATAGTTAATGTTTCTAATTTATGTGGCGAATGAGTTAGATAAGTTAAGATTGTGATTTTGATGCTCGGGAGCTATTGATTTCATAGTTCAAAATTGAGAAACATAGTCTAGGTTGTTGTAAGTCCTGGATGAAATCGACACTTAGAAAATCTCATTGAGAGTTTAGGATATTGTGAGACTGGGAAGTGATCAAGTCTTAGATTATCAATTAGGATTTCTATTGTTGTGAGGCCGGGAGGCGGTCGGTATTTGATTTCCAATTTAAAGGCTAAACTTAATGAATGTATGAGTAAACGAATTAGATAGGATATTGATTCGGGTATTCATGCATATGACCTCGTTTGACGCTCGGAAGAGGTAACGAGGTTAGATTAGGTCCCTTGATTAATGAATTGAAGCTGTCGCTGCCGCTGCCACTGCCACTTGTTGATGAAGATCACTCACAGCTTCTGTTTGAGTTGTCTTCTTCTTTTTCTTCAACCCGAAAACATTCAAGAATGAATGCGGGTTTTCGTCTTATTGTTGCGGTTCCTGTACTCTATGAGGTACTCTAAACCTAATCTCATATTTATTATAGATCGAATATATTTTTTCCTTTATTATTGGATATTGGTCCTTACAATTGATGCCTAAAAATTCACCTAAGTTTTCTAAACCACTTTCTAAACCTTCTAATTTTAATCTAGGATCAAAAACAGTACCTAAACCATACAACAAATGCAACTTAGACTAATATTTTATAAATTTCTTTTCCATAGAATGGATAGGAACTGCTAAGATTGGGTCATCCCTATATTCGCTAAATAAAATACTAATTCGTAAAAGTTCTCCTAAAGCTAAAGGTGATGTTAGGTAATATGTTCCATTAAGCTTTAGAGTCACTTTATGAAACCTACCTAAAAATTAATACAAAACTTCAGCAATTTGCCAATCATATGCGTCTATATGTCCTACTCCTACTTTTGCACACATATAGTTTGTTATAGTATCCTTATAGGGGATGCATTGTTGAAGCATTATGTAAGTTGAGTTCCATCTTATAGGCATATCTAATGCTAATGCTCTAGGAGGTATATTTAATGCTTGTAAGAACGTAAACCAATCTTCTTATCTTTAGTTACTATCTTGAATCTATGCAAGACTATCTCTAATTCTTTTAATGTGATTACCCATTTCTTTTAAATCGCATTTAACAATTAAATTAATTACGTGACATGCACAACGTTGGTGAAAAATAGTACCGTCACCGAATAAACTTAAATCATTTTCAAAGAACT